AAAAAAATTAAATTAAAAAATTAGAATTTCTTCAAATATAAAATTTAATTGAATATAAACCAATTAATTTTTTTAAAATTTAACTCAAAAATTAAATAAATGAAATAGGAGAGAGAAGATAAGACTATTGTTTATTTATTTATTTTCTTATTTTTTTATTGGGGAGAGAAATTTATTATTTTTATTTATGCTTATTTATTTAATTATTATTTTACTAGGCTTATATGATTAATCGGAAAAAAATAGGTTTTATTAACAAGCCATCAATTTAATTTAAAATAGATTTTGCTCACTTAAATTATTTATTTATTTATCATATAATAATAATGGTTCTAATAATTGAAATTTATGAATTTTATTGAAAATTTTAAATTTAAGAAATATCTATATCGATCAAATAAATTTAGAATACAATATTATTTTTATATTCTCTCAAAAATACTTATCATCAAAAAATTAGTATGTAAATGAATTAAATTATAAAAAGAACGGTCAAAACCTGATGCTTTTCCACTCTTTGTAATTGTTTAGAATGGTGCAAAATTGTCTATTTACAACCCATTATATTGGCAATGACCCCTCTATCCATGTAATTGATCCAACATAGCGGCGTTAGATACTCTCGTAACATTAGATAATAATCAATAAAATCAATCTATTGTATTCGAGAATCAAATGTGCATCTATTATCACCACAACAAGTTTTCTAAATCTCGTTCACGCCATTACCCACGTTCTAATATAATAATTGATGAAATGAATGACCTATTTTTATTAATTTTTAATTTACAAAGTGTTCCTCCTAATTTGTTTTAATTAGATTCAAATTATGATATTTAATTTACAAATGTTTCTCCTATTTTTTATATTTAATTTCTCCATATAATATTTAATTTCTATAATTTGTAATAAGAGAAAAAATCTAAATTGATTTGGATTAGGCTATTAAAAATTTATTTATTTATTTATTTTATTATTTTACCTGAATTTATATGAATGGTAGGCCAATTTTATTTATTTTTTTATTATTTTACTTGTTTATATGATTAGAAGATTTAGCATATTTATTTATTATTTTAATTAAGTTTATATAATTTTATTTATTATTTTAATTGAATTTATATAATTCGAAAAAAGATTAAACTATTATAAATTTAGTTATTCCAACCAATAAATTTAATTTAAAATAGATTTTGTTAACTTAAATTATTTATTTATTTATTATCCTAATAATTGAAAGTTTATGAATTTTATTGAAAATTTTAAACCAGGAAAATATAAATATCAAATCTAAATCAAATAAATTTATAACAAAATAGTCAATTTAATCCTGAAAAAATAACCATAAATAAATAAAATAAAATAAAATCTAATGCTTTTCAACTCTATTCTCCTCATAATTGAAAAAATAAATATTTACAATAAAAATATTGCAATCATACTCTAAAAAATTAAGTAAAAGACTCTACACTAGTGAAGAACTTCGAATTGTTTGAGATAATTTTTTTGTTTTTAAGGAATGTCTTGCTTTCAATCCATTAATTGTGCCTTGTTGCACATCCTCTTCATTTATATCATCAAAAAACACTCTGAAAAGAAAAAATGTACCAATATAATAATCAATATTTATTCTTTTCTAATAAAAGACAGATACTCAAACATAGTGTCGATATCAACATGAACATGCATGAACATTACGATCTAATTATGACATGTTTTCAAAGATGAAAGAAAAATAACTCATGAATATTCATAAAAAAACAAGAATACTGCCCACTGGAGTATAGGTCAACTAATTAATGCATCTCTTGCCCCATATGTCGTTGAACTCAAAGAAAAAAACATATTAAACGGTAACGAAACACCCACTTAAAGAATCAACATTATTCTCATTTGATGTTTAATGATTGATACAGTCTCTAATGTCGCCTACTTTTAGAAATTACATGTTCGTGTTGTCATATTTGTATCATATGTCTATGTGTTCTAACATTTACCTATAAACCATATAATAGCAGCTGGGAAAAAAATGGTTGTGAGGATGAGAGTAGTCTTCCTCCAATTGTTAAGATGGTCCTACAAAATTGAGTAAACCATTGTTAAAACTTGATTGGTAAAACGTAACTTAAAACGTATCAAATAGAGCTTAACTTCTAAAGAACAAACCTCGAGAACTCCAACAAGAGGTGAAGATGGCACATCTCCAAAAATGTGAATTGCAACCATAGACATAGCCATGGAAAGCGGCCTTAGACTAGGCCTCACACAATGTAGTATATTATTGTGATGAATAAGAAAATGTTTTCAACTATATAGACGATATGCTAAAACATTACTAGTATATTATTGTGATGAATATGAAATGAACCTTATGAGCGGGTGCATTATCATAAATAAATGGCGCCGCAAGACTTATAAACGATGCCTCACCAACACCCACAATCCTACGAAGAAAAAGCATTGCATTCATGAGAGTCAAGTTGAAAAGAAAAGATTGAATAGGGGAAAAAATAAAAGAGGTTTACTCACATGCGACAGACAACAATCGACCAGAAATTAAATGAAAAACCACATCCAATTACTGACAAAGTCCAAATAGATAATCCAACACCTATGAGTCGAAATGGATTTATCCTGCAAAATTTAAATTATATTACAAGTCGAACAAATTATACTTAATCATAATCGACAATATGCTCAACAATTATTTAGATTACCTCTTCGACAATGACGCGAATATTGGACAAGCTAGAAGAAGTCCAACCATAAATGCAGAAGATAAAATTCCGTCCTCAAAATTGGTTAACTTAAATTGTCCCCTAATCATAATAATCCATTAAAAACATCTTACAAAAGATCAACAAATTGACAATAAAATATTATCAAATGCACTTCAAATAAATCTTACTGGATCCCGGAACCAGATGTGCACATGCCATCGGCACCACATGTTTTTGGGATTCCATTCACACCATTGCTTGAAATAACTCCTCTATCCATGTAATTAATTAAATGGATGACACAAAACAGAACAAGTAGTCTATAAAATAAATAAACAGAGATTTAAAGTTAAAAAAAATATAAATGAGTTGAAGTCTAAAGAGATTAATCAAACATAGATGACGAAGGATGCAAATTTCAAATATTGCTATCATATTTAAAAACCAAAATACGAGAAAAGTAAGAATAGTACCGCAATGGCGTGAACCAAGATTGGTTGGAACTAACATCGGAGGAAGCAGAAGTAGCCATTAGTTTAAAACACAAAAAAAAAAAAGTTTGATATCTAAAGACTATAAAGGGTTTGTGAGTTCAGAAGAGTGCAAAAACAGCTAACGACAGTGTACGATTTGATGATTAGAGATCGGAGGAATTAAAAGAATAAATAGGAGAAAGTATTATTGATTTCGGCCCGTTCTAAATCTTTGATTCATATTTTATTTTTGTACTTTTAAATCTAGTATTTTAAATGTTTTGATTCATATTTTATATTTTGATTATGTAATTTTAACGGTTTAGATTTTTATTTCGACCGATTTTAAATCTTTATTTTATATTTTGTAATTTTGGAATGAGAATATTTATAAACTTTTTATTTATATTTTATGTTTTGTAATTTTAAATGAGTTGTAAATTTTTTATTCATAGATTTTGATTTTAACTCGTTTTTTATTTTTTTATGGCATATTTTATTTAGGTTTAGATTTTGATTTTAATTTTTTTAATTTTGAAACGTAGATTCTCATATATATATATACCGAATTTGATTCATATTTTATCTTTTCTAATTCTGGTTGAGATTCTAAATTTTTTATTTGTTTATTTTTTATTTTTAATTTGAATGAAAATATTAAAAAAATATATATAGTAAATTTAAATATATTTACGAACTAGTAAAAAGAATATTAATTTAGTTGTTAGGGGTCCAAGTTGAAATTATATCTCTTATACCAATTTCATACCAGTGGAAACTAAATTTTTTTGAAATGTCAAAAATGAAAATCAAACATATATGTTGTTTCGAGTAGCTTGTGCTTGATTTTAACATTTAAATTGGTCTTTTTTTTGTTTCGTGTGAGATAGTGGTGTACATTCAACCCGACAACCTGAACCGACCTAACTAAAATTATTGATCTCTTAAATTATTAAAAATTTTGCTAACTTAAATTAATTTAAAACAAATTTTGCTAACTTAAATTATTTATTTATTTAACATATAATAGTACTTATTCTAGAATAATGGGAAGTTTATCAATTTTATTAAAAAATTTAAACAGAAGAAATACAAATATCAAATTAAATAAAATTAAATTATGACAAATTAAATTATTTATTTATTTTTCTAATAGTTGAAAGTTTTTTAATTTTATTGAAAATTTTAAATGAAGAATACCAATATCAAACTAAAAATAATTTATAACAAAATAGTCTCTTAATCATAAAAGAGTACCGTAAATAAATAAAATAAAAAAGACCCTAAACTTGTGTAGAACCTAAATTTGTTTGAGATAATTTTTTTGTTTTCGAGGGAGGTCTTACTCTCGATCCAGTAATTGTGCCTTGTTGCATATCTTCTTCATTTACATCATCAAAAAACACTCCTGTCGTTGAAAAGAAAAAAAAAAAAAACGTGTCAATATAATAATCAACATTTATCCTTTTTTAATAGAACACATATATACTCAAACATAGTATCGATATCAACATAGACATGCACGAACATTACGATTTAGTTGACATGTTTTAAAGGATGATAAAAAAGACAACTCATCGATATCCATAAAAAACGAAAGTAATGCCCACTGGAGCATAGGTCAACTAATTAACGCATCTCTTGCCGTCGTTGAACTCAAAAGAAAAAACAAATTAAACGGTAACGAAACACACTTAAAGAATCAACAGTATTCTCATTCGATGTTTAACAGTACCATCTCTAATGTGGCATACGTTTAGAAATTTCGTATTCGTGTTATCATATTCGTGTCATATGTCTATGTGTTCTAACGTTTACCTATAAACCATATAATTGCAGCCGGGAAAAAAATGGTGGTGAGAATGAGTGTAGTCTTCCTCCAATTGTTAAGATGGTCCTACAATGTTGAGTAAACCATTGTTAAAAATTTGATTATTAAAACTTTTAACTCAAAATCAAATAGAGCTTAACTTCTAAAGAACAAACCTCGAGAACTCCAACAAGAGGTGAAGATGGCACATCTCCAAAAATGTGAATTGCAACCGTAGACATAGCCATGGAAAGCGGCCTTAGACTAGGCCTCACACAATGTAGGCATACAAAGTTTACCGGACCCTGCGATGTAAAAGTAATTAGCTAAAGAATCGATACAAAAATATTAAATATAGACTAAAATATGAGTGGGTTTGATGGAGAGTACACCTTAGAGAGTTCCTCGACAAACTAATACGAAATTACTATCTAATAAACTTTCTTAATTTGACTCTTCATTGAAGTTTACAATTGGCTAGGTTTTTATATACTCCAAAAATCGATCTCCTTATAAATATCGGTGGTCATATCCTTACTAATGTCATGTCAATTAGGAGATACTTATAGCATAGAACATTTTTTATGTTTTTGAAGAATATACCTGTGTTGCAAACAGCAGCAACTCGCCAACTGAGAAAAAAACTAGGAAGGCATACATGTTTTTGAAGCAAAATGCACCAAAGCAAAACGCTGCTCCAATAAACGTTGTACTAGAAAGAAGCTACAATTGAAATTTAAGAATAATTACATTATTCAAATATATCACGACACTGTAAAAATTATTCAACAAATAAAATCTTTCGAATAACAAATAAAATTACCTTAAAAGCATTAGGAATAGTTGTGCCTAGGTAATCTAAAGCATAGCCTCCTGTTATTGTTCCAATAATTCCACAAACGACAGTGATGCCTCCAAAAATCATATCTGCATTTTTCTGTAAAAAAATGTTCCAATTCAATTATTCATTATTTTTAACCTTTCAAGTTTATATCTTAAGCATGGTTCGTCTTCAAAAAAAAAAAAAAAATTTATTGAGATAAATAGTTTACCATTTGATAAATGCTATAGCCTGCTTTGGGGCCCCAATATGAGTATGCACCGATCACAAACGTATATACTACAAAACCTGAACAAAATATAATTGAAAATATTTATATCCAAAATATAGATGTTATATGATCCTTACTTGAAAATTCAAAGTATGATAAATTAAATAAAAGACATACCTAAAACATTGACCACAAAAACCTTATCGACCAGAAGTGCTTTCAAATCTTTCAAGAATTGAGGTGAAGAACTGTCATAAGTTATGAAAAAAAAAAAAAAGATTAAATCATATTCTAGCAAAATACAAATGCAACGTTCTTATAATCTAATTTGAAAATGACATTGCTACAATGAGTTGCTTACTTGGAGGAACTCTCCACCCCGTTCTCTGGTAAATCCTTACGAGATGTTCCATCTTTAGTTTTCAAATCTAATTTCATATACAAACAAAAAAAAAAAAAAATTGTTATGACTTGTAAACATGAACATGCACAACATGCACAACATGCACAAGAAAAGCAAGAGACGGAAGCAGAAGATAAGTACCTTTAACTAATGAGGTAGCTGTATCGACAGGTAATGATGCGTTAACCGTCTCCCGAGGAGGAAAACCTACATCCACAAATAGTTTAGTTAGAGGTGGCACAAAAATTATTGTATGATATAAGTTCGATCCTTACCCTTGTATTGGAGAGGCTCGACAACAAAACCAAGAATTGCAAACGGAAACATTAATATTGCCTCGCCCCAAAATGCATAGCGCCAACCTAGACGTTCACCAACCTATCAATTAAAAGTTAAAGTTATTTAACTACACAAATATCTAATTAGGAGTATGATGTAAACTAGTTATCCAAATAAATAAGAACTTACAAATCCACCGTAAAGATAGCCAATTGCATAACCCGTAGGCATGCACATATACAATATTGCTATCCAACCGGTCCTCTGTAGCAAATAAGAAAATGTTTTCAACTATATAGACGATATGCTAAAACATTACTAGTGTATTATTGTGATGAATATGAAATGAACCTTATGAGCGGGTGCATTATCATAAATAAATGGCGCCGCAAGACTTATAAACGATGCCTCACCAACACCCACAATCCTACGAAGAAAAAGCATTGCATTCATGAGAGTCATAAAAAGTTGAAAAGAAAAGATTGAACAGGGGAAAAAATAAAAGAGGTTTACTCACATGCGACAGACAACAATCGACCAGAAATTAAATGAAAAACCACATCCAATTACTGACAAAGTCCAAATAGATAATCCAACACCTATGAGTCGAAATGGATTTATCCTGCAAAATTTAAATTATATTACAAGTCGAACAAATTATACTTAATCATAATCGACAATATGCTCAACAATTATTTAGATTACCTCTTCGACAATGACGCGAATATTGGACAAGCTAGAAGAAGTCCAACCATAAATGCCGAAGATAAAATTCCGTCCTCAAAATTGGTTAACTTAAATTGTCCCCTAATCATAATAATCCATTAAAAACATCTTTAAAAAGATCAACAAATGACAATAAAATATTATCAAATGCACTTCAAATAAATCTTACTCGATCCCGGAACCAGATGTGCACGTGCCATCGGCACCACATGTTTTTGGGATTCCATTCACACCATTGCTTGAAATAACTCCTCTATCCATGTAATTAATTAAATGGATGACACAAAACAGAACAAGTAGTCTATAAAATAAATAAACAGAGATTTAAAGTTAAAAAAAATATAAATGAGTTGAAATCTAAAGAGATTAATCAAACATAGATGACGAAGGATGGAAATTTCAAATATTGCTATCATATTTAAAAACCAAAATACGAGAAAAGTAAGAATAGTACCGCAATGGCGTGAACCAAGATTGGTTGGAACTAACATCGGAGGAAGCAGAAGTAGCCATTAGTTTAAAACACAAAAAAAAAAAAGTTTGATATCTGAAGACTGTAAAGGGTTTGTGAGTTCAGAAGAGTGCTAAAAGAACTAACGACAGTGTACGATTTGAAGATGAGAGAGCGGAGGAATTACAAGAATAAATAGGGGAAAGTATGATTGATTTCGGCCCGTTCTAAATATTTGATTCATATTTTATTTTTGTAATTTTAAATCTTTGATTCATATTTTATATCTCATAATTTTGATTATGTAATTTCAACCGTTTATATTTTTATTTCGACCCATTTTAAATCTTGATTTTATATTTTGTAATTTTGTAATAAGAATATTTATTAATTTTTTATTTATATTTTATGTTTTGTAATTTTAAATGAGTTGTAAATTTTTTATTCATATTTTAGATTTTGATTTTAACTCTTTTTTTATTTTTTTTATGCATATTTTATTTATGTTTAGATTTTGATTTTAATTTTTCTAATTTTGAAACTTTTGAATTTGATTCATATTTTATCTTTTCTAATTTTTGAGCTTCTAAATTTTTTATTCATATTTTATTTTTTCTAATTTTAAAATTTGTTTATTTTTTATTTGTAATTTGAATGAAAATATTAAAAAAATATATATGGTAAATTTAAATATATTTATGAACTAGTAAAAAAGGAAGTATTAACTTAGTTGGTAGGGGTCAAAGTTGAAATTAGAGCTTTCATATGAATTGAAGCTAAATTTTTTTTGAAATGTCAAAAATGAAAATCAAACATCATTTGTTTCGAGTAGGTTGTTCTTGATTTTAACAATCAAATTGGTCTCTTTTTGTTTCGTGTGAGATAGTGGTGTACATTCAACCCGACAACCTGAACCGACCTAACTAAAATTATTGATCTCCTCTTGTTTCGTGTGAGATAGGGGTGTACATTCAACCCGAAAATCTAAACCAACCTAACTAAACTTATAAGAGTTGGGTTGAGTTTGTATTTGATTCGAAAATTTAAACCAACCTAACTAAAATTATAAGAGGTTGAGTTTGTATTTAATTCGGTTAATTTTCTTAAAAAAAAGAATTAGTTCGGTTTTGGTTTTAAATAATATAAATTTAGTTCATGCATTTTTTTTTAATTACAAATTTAATCATTTTTAATTTTTCTAAACCCCATCCATTTTCCACAAAATTTAAGAATTAGGTTACTTTAATATTACATCTAATAATATTTTTAAATTACATTTTTTCTACTCTCCGAATTTATTGATAAAAAAATTAAATTAAAAAATTAGAATTTCTTCAAATATAAAATTTAATTGAATATAAACCAATTAATTTTTTTAAAATTTAACTCAAAAATTAAATAAATGAAATAGGAGAGAGAAGATAAGACTATTGTTTATTTATTTATTTTCTTATTTTTTTATTGGGGAGAGAAATTTATTATTTTTATTTATGCTTATTTATTTAATTATTATTTTACTAGGCTTATATGATTAATCGGAAAAAAATAGGTTTTATTAACAAGCCATCAATTTAATTTAAAATAGATTTTGCTCACTTAAATTATTTATTTATTTATCATATAATAATAATGGTTCTAATAATTGAAATTTATGAATTTTATTGAAAATTTTAAATTTAAGAAATATCTATATCGATCAAATAAATTTAGAATACAATATTATTTTTATATTCTCTCAAAAATACTTATCATCAAAAAATTAGTATGTAAATGAATTAAATTATAAAAAGAACGGTCAAAACCTGATGCTTTTCCACTCTTTGTAATTGTTTAGAATGGTGCAAAATTGTCTATTTACAACCCATTATATTGGCAATGACCCCTCTATCCATGTAATTGATCCAACATAGCGGCGTTAGATACTCTCGTAACATTAGATAATAATCAATAAAATCAATCTATTGTATTCGAGAATCAAATGTGCATCTATTATCACCACAACAAGTTTTCTAAATCTCGTTCACGCCATTACCCACGTTCTAATATAATAATTGATGAAATGAATGACCTATTTTTATTAATTTTTAATTTACAAAGTGTTCCTCCTAATTTGTTTTAATTAGATTCAAATTATGATATTTAATTTACAAATGTTTCTCCTATTTTTTATATTTAATTTCTCCATATAATATTTAATTTCTATAATTTGTAATAAGAGAAAAAATCTAAATTGATTTGGATTAGGCTATTAAAAATTTATTTATTTATTTATTTTATTATTTTACCTGAATTTATATGAATGGTAGGCCAATTTTATTTATTTTTTTATTATTTTACTTGTTTATATGATTAGAAGATTTAGCATATTTATTTATTATTTTAATTAAGTTTATATAATTTTATTTATTATTTTAATTGAATTTATATAATTCGAAAAAAGATTAAACTATTATAAATTTAGTTATTCCAACCAATAAATTTAATTTAAAATAGATTTTGTTAACTTAAATTATTTATTTATTTATTATCCTAATAATTGAAAGTTTATGAATTTTATTGAAAATTTTAAACCAGGGAAATATAAATATCAAATCTAAATCAAATAAATTTATAACAAAATAGTCAATTTAATCCTGAAAAAATAACCATAAATAAATAAAATAAAATAAAATCTAATGCTTTTCAACTCTATTCTCCTCATAATTGAAAAAATAAATATTTACAATAAAAATATTGCAATCATACTCTAAAAAATTAAGTAAAAGACTCTACACTAGTGAAGAACTTCGAATTGTTTGAGATAATTTTTTTGTTTTTAAGGAATGTCTTGCTTTCAATCCATTAATTGTGCCTTGTTGCACATCCTCTTCATTTATATCATCAAAAAACACTCTGAAAAGAAAAAATGTACCAATATAATAATCAATATTTATTCTTTTCTAATAAAAGACAGATACTCAAACATAGTGTCGATATCAACATGAACATGCATGAACATTACGATCTAATTATGACATGTTTTCAAAGATGAAAGAAAAATAACTCATGAATATTCATAAAAAAACAAGAATACTGCCCACTAGAGTATAGGTCAACTAATTAATGCATCTCTTGCCCCATATGTCGTTGAACTCAAAGAAAAAAACATATTAAACGGTAACGAAACACCCACTTAAAGAATCAACATTATTCTCATTTGATGTTTAATGATTGATACAGTCTCTAATGTCGCCTACTTTTAGAAATTACGTGTTCGTGTTGTCATATTTGTATCATATGTCTATGTGTTCTAACATTTACCTATAAACCATATAATAGCAGCTGGGAAAAAAATGGTTGTGAGGATGAGAGTAGTCTTCCTCCAATTGTTAAGATGGTCCTACAAAATTGAGTAAACCATTGTTAAAACTTGATTGGTAAAACGTAACTTAAAACGTATCAAATAGAGCTTAACTTCTAAAGAACAAACCTCGAGAACTCCAACATGAGGTGAAGATGGCACATCTCCAAAAATGTGAATTGCAATCGTAGACATAGCCATGGAAAGCGGCCTTAGACTAGGCCTCACACAATGTAGTATATTATTGTGATGAATAAGAAAATGCCATGGAAAGCGGCCTTAGACTAGGCCTCACACAATGTAGTATATTATTGTGATGAATAAGAAAATGTTTTCAACTATATAGACGATATGCTAAAACATTACTAATATATTATTGTGATGAATATGAAATGAACCTTATGAGCGGGTGCATTATCATAAATAAATGGCGCCGCAAGACTTATAAACGATGCCTCACCAACACCCACAATCCTACGAAGAAAAAGCATTGCATTCATGAGAGTCAAGTTGAAAAGAAAAGATTGAATAGGGGAAAAAATAAAAGAGGTTTACTCACATGCGACAGACAACAATCGACCAGAAATTAAATGAAAAACACATCCAATTACTGACAAAGTCCAAATAGATAATCCAACACCTATGAGTCGAAATGGATTTATCCTGCAAAATTTAAATTATATTACAAGTCGAACAAATTATACTTAATCATAATCGACAATATGCTCAAAAATTATTTAGATTACCTCTTCGACAATGACGCGAATATTGGACAAGCTAGAAGAAGTCCAACCATAAATGCAGAAGATAAAATTCCGTCCTCAAAATTGGTTAACTTAAATTGTCCCCTAATCATAATAATCCATTAAAAACATCTTACAAAAGATCAACAAATTGACAATAAAATATTATCAAATGCACTTCAAATAAATCTTACTGGATCCCGGAACCAGATGTGCACATGCCATCGGCACCACATGTTTTTGGGATTCCATTCACACCATTGCTTGAAATAACTCCTCTATCCATGTAATTAATTAAATGGATGACACAAAACAGAACAAGTAGTCTATAAAATAAATAAACAGAGATTTAAAGTTAAAAAAAATATAAATGAGTTGAAGTCTAAAGAGATTAATCAAACATAGATGACGAAGGATGCAAATTTCAAATATTGCTATCATATTTTAAAACCAAAATACGAGAAAAGTAAGAATAGTACCACAATGGCGTGAACCAAGATTGGTTGGAACTAACATCGGAGGAAGCAGAAGTAGCCATTAGTTTAAAACACAAAAAAAAAAAAGTTGATATCTAAAGACTATAAAGGGTTTGTGAGTTCAGAAGAGTGCAAAAACAGCTAACGACAGTGTACGATTTGATGATTAGAGATTGGAGGAATTAAAAGAATAAATAGGAGAAAGTATTATTGATTTCGGCCCGTTCTAAATCTTTGATTCATATTTTATTTTTGTACTTTTAAATCTAGTATTTTAAATGTTTTGATTCATATTTTATATTTTGATTATGTAATTTTAACGGTTTAGATTTTTATTTCGACCGATTTTAAATCTTTATTTTATATTTTGTAATTTTGGAATGAGAATATTTATAAACTTTTTATTTATATTTTATGTTTTGTAATTTTAAATGAGTTGTAAATTTTTTATTCATAGATTTTGATTTTAACTCGTTTTTTATTTTTTTTATGGCATATTTTAT